CTGTGAAGCTTATTGGGTAGTTTGGACTCAGGAAAACACTCAGGGAACCACAAGCAGAGTCATCAAAGTGAGACCTTTGACTCAGGCGGTTTGATATTTACCATTTCCCATAGTACAAACTGTCTTATGTCATGTAACTCACTCAGGAGATCTTGATCTAATTTAGAAGAGGCATATAAAAAGGTTAAAATGCCCAAAAATTACAGCCCCCAAATATAGACTATGTAGCGTTCTCAAGGACCGGCGTCCTGCAACTTTTAGACGCATTTTGCTTAAAAAAAAAACTGAGTCAAATAATGAGATCAAAGGCAAGTAATTTGGCCAGGTGACTCATGTTGCACCAAGGTCACCGGGTCTGGAGTGAAATACCACTGGTGTAGAGAAAAAGTAGCTCAAACTCAGTCAGATTGGATGTAAACTATCTGTGTAAAAGACTCAATTGGATTTTGATCTAGACTTTGACTGGGTGAATCAGTCTCACAACTATGTTTTAATCTAAATCATTCCATGACTATATTTAAAGTTGTTTAATGTAGTGTTTACTGTGTTTACCTTTGTTCATTTTCCCATCAACTGTTCCCTTTCCCTGCTGAAGAAAAGGAGATCCACAGGATGTTCCCCTGGAGATGGTGTGTTAAGTTTTCCATCATTAAAAGTGGTTTGTATGTCAACCAAAATAATCATATAATCATAATTTGGTCTCATCTGATAGAGCCCCTTCTTCCACGCTTCCTGTTAGAATGGAAAACTACAACCATTACTTCTTATGGTCTTCTATCAGCAATGGCTTCATTTTTGCCACTTTTTCATGCCTCCTGTAAATTTGAGTACAGACCAGTGCCTCTTGGCTTCTTCTGTTTAACTGCACATGTGTGGACTCTAACAAAGTAAACATCTTATGAAAGTAGTTGGTTGCACTGAAATTGAACTTGTGACATCGAGAACCATTGCTTATACCTGCTGAGGAACTTGAGCCCATCGCCAGTGGTTATTGAACAAAAAGGTGAGGATTACCATGCACAGATCACAATCTATCACAAGAACAAACAATACGCACGCACATAATCAAATATAAGGACAATTTAGAGACCAATTAACCAAACACCTATGATTTTACATAGGGAAGCTGGAATACCGAACATGAATAGTCCATGCATAAAGACCTAAGGCTGGGATCTGAACCCGGAACTTCTTGGTGTAAGACAATGATGTACAACTGCACCACCAAGTTTTATTAGATCAGAATTTTGCATTCACTTCAAACTTGGTTTGTTGGTCTATCATCTGAATTATCAAAAAAACCCTTTTGAATATGTGATTATACATATGTAAATAAAGTTTGACAGGGCACTGCATGCTTCCTTTGATAAAACTTCTGCATAAAATACCAAGTTATTTATAGTTTGACATTTCAACCCCATGGAGTCATTAAAGACAAAACAGTATTATCAAGATGTAGACTATTAAAATACACATATGATGTAATTTGGCTAAGTGAATAAACTGTTTTCATATCTAAAATGTTACTGCTGTGATTGTCTTCAAAAAAAGGTATATGTATGTGGGGTGGGGGCTGAGTTTAGAGGGGGCAGATGAATCTTTTGAACATCTACTCCAGGATACAGCTGCATATGACTAATTTCAAACTCCCCCTTGTAGGGCCCCTATGCAAAGCCATTTCACAAGTAACACACATCACCAGGCATCTGTTTCCTGTTTTCATTCTTTGAGTTATCTTATTTTCCTTATTTCCCCCTCACCTGTTACAGTTCACGTTCCTTCCATCATGCAGTTTTGCCGGGACACAAGAGTGTTCAGTCACAAAAATAACTCCAGATGGGATGAACGTAATTTTTGAGACGATATTTAATTTGGGCATATAAAATCAACAGTTTAACCATGTGAACACCTAAGAGGAGTAATATTGCAGTAGTTTCTCGTCGGTAGGTTTCAGGATCTTCTTCTCTGGCATGTTAACGACCCAGCCTGGAGACAGGCCAAAGAAGATCTGTCGAACATCCTTCCTCATGGCCAGCATGTGACACAGTTCATCCTTTGAAATATCTGGCAGCACGTAGCCGTACTTCTGCGCCAAGGCGCGGCGGGCCTGCTGGATTTCTTCCGGATCTGCTAAGTAACCCCGGTTTTCAGCACTCATGTAATACGGGACCATGTCCTCTCCCGGCAGCATCCGCTTCGGGATTGGCTGCCCCCTCATGAAGAACGGGACGGGCTTGATAAGGATTCCTGTGAAAACATAATACATTGGCATGCCTTTCATTGAAAAAAAAAACAATACTATAATAAGTTAGCTGCATTACTATTGTTTATTTACCGAGACTTATGGGATCATAGAAGCTGTTGGTGATGATGCCTCCATTCCGTTCGATAGCTGCTATGGCTCCTTCAGTTGCTCTCTGAACCTCAATGTTGATTTTTGCTACAAAAATGTCAGAACCCTGAAAGAAACGGAAAATAAATAAGAACTGGAAAAGGGTGAAAATCAGAAGTCGACAAGGCGTCTCTTCATTAGTCACAACACCATCATGTGGCGCCACCTGGTGATGGTATTTGATCTAATATTGATCTTCTTAAGACCTGCAATTACTTCACTTTCATACATGTTTAAAAGCTGCATAAAGTCTAACAGTTTATTTATTGCATTTGATTGCAATGTTTTCTGTATCAAATGCCCAAATCTAAAGATCTAAATCTAATCTAAAAACTGATCAAATCTAAAAACTGAATATATATTCATTTAGCTGAATATATTATCTGATCTTGCTTAAGATTCATTGTTTTGCAAATATATTCATCCCATTTTCACATTATGTCATGTATCAAATAAAAATTTGAATGTCATTTACTAGGTTTTTAAGTCATGGACTGACACAAAGTAGCATATATTTGTCAATGATTTAAAAAACACTGATTTTAAATCAATGTAAAAAAAATGATTTACAAATAAAAATTGTGAATGTGTGGTGTGCATTTATATTCTTTGAGTCAATACTTTCTAGAACCGCCTCCAGGTGTGGTACATTGACAATGAATCAAGCTAAAATTACCTCATCAACAAGCTGGACTCCATAGTCCCTCTTCAATGGCTGTATGGTGACTCCTCTGGCGTTGACAAGCTGGGTCAGGTCTATGGGCTGTGATGGGTCGATCCGACCCAAATCAATCAAGTACTGCAGTCTTTTCAACGTTAAAGGCTGGTATTGTGGACGGCGACTTGTAAGGAACAACAACAGAAATGTACTTATAACACCGGATACTGTTGGTTCAGAAATTATTAAACACCACCTTAATGAAAATTAGAGCTTATTGGGTGCTTAATTTTAATTATGATATGAACAATGACATTTCCATGGTCAAAAGACTTATAAAGGTAAGTTTTCAAGAAAGCATGAGTCACCAGGGACAGTGAATGCAGACTTTCCAAAGAAACTGTGTATGCCGAATGTCCTTTGTGATGTTATCAATATAACATGTTACTCTTAAAGAAAATCTCAGCTTCTAAGTCACTTTGTCATCCTGACATGCTAAAGATCGGTCGATTCCGCTCATCTTGAGAGCAATCGGTGCATTTTTAATAAATGATACTCGGAGTCTATTAGCATATTCTGTGTCACTAATATTGAACTTAAACAAATCAAGAAACGATTTCTTTTGTTTACCTGTGACCTTCATTGAAGCCATATTTAGGAATTCTCAAGTAGAAGGGGGTCTGTCCCCCTTCGAACCCCAGCCGAGGTCTGGTCCCTCTCTGCCGCTCTCCTTTGTGGCCTCTCCCGCTCCTGTTACCTCCGTGCTGTCCTCTGCCCCGCCGCTTTTCCTGCAAAATAGCAACGGCTTTAGATTAGCTGGTGCGCTGTCTTATAAAGCAAGGAAACGTCATGCTATTATTGTAGCATATTAGCTGCTAACGGTGACCACAATAAAGGAAAGGAAAATACAGCTTACATTCTTTCTTGCTCCTGGTTCAGGACGTAAATTTGCTAAAGTTATTCTCGGTAGATTTTGCAAAACGTCCAGTCCTTTACCGCCGGGTTTTTTAGGGAAAGACATGTTTCTGCTGCTCACATGTCAAGATAGCGAACCAAGGACACAAGGTCACGTGACAACATGACAGCGGATGTGATTGTTCTGTAGCGCCATAGGTTGTTTCAAATTAAAAGCATGTCACTCAATCTCGCCATCGTTCAAGGCCTCTATAAGCTGTACAAAGCTCACATTTACAAACTCAAATATTATGCTGTTAAACAGTGGCTAAAATTCAGTAAGACATAAAATAAGTTGCTGTCATGGATACGAACAGATACTGCAGTGATGCTGCCACAAGGGAGCGCCAGATTCTGTAAAGCCATTTTCAGTCATTGAAAAGATAAAATACAGCCAAGCCAACAATTACAAAGATGAATACGCAAATAAATGTAACGACTTGAAAAGAAATAAAATACTTTAAATTATTATCATTAATCATTCAATTATTTCTATTAATCTGGTCCTAAGGATAGGATGCGGCCTATTTTAAATCCCCTTGTGATAAAAACATATGTAACATCATCAATTGTAATCTGTATTTAAACTTTTTGGTTACTCTCCTTTATCATGCTAATAATAAGCATGATAAAGCTTATTATGTTACAGACGTGCATGTCAGTTGTTCTATGTTTTCATCATATAGATATAAAACATAATGGAAACTATAATAATAATAATAATAATAATAATAATAATAATAATAATAATAATAATAATTGTTATTAATAATAATAATAATAATATAATAACTGTTATTATTATTATTATTAGTAGTAGTAGTAGTAGTAGTAGTAGTATGCGCCCATCAATGCCATTATTTTGTAGGTTTCGTTGGTGTTTATTCAGCAGAGGACTTAACTCGGTTTGACCAGAACCAATGAGTAACTTGCATTGCTAAAGAGGATCAGTAAACAACCAATCAGGTAGCTCCGGGGGCGGGACTAAAACAGCCCAGTCAGTTGGAAAACAAGAGTCCTTGTAGCTTGGAGAGCCAGCCGACCGTTTGACTTCTCACGGAATTCAACTTCAAGAAAAGAAAATTCAGGGTTTTTTTTTTCTTTAGCAAAAGGAGGCCGGGTACCTTTCACCAGTTTCCTCAGTTAAAACATTCTCCTCAGTTATAGTTTGAATTACCGCCTAAACACCTGCTTAGTGTCAGAGTTTAGCCGAGATCAGCTAAATTGTGGCTGCCTAGGCGCTGTATGTGCGGTAACAACATGTCAGCGCCTTTACCTGCCATCGTGCCTGCTGCCCGGAAAGCCACTGCGGCGGTGAGTAATAGAGTCGTTTCAGAGAGCAAACTTTCTATTTAAACTCGGTCAAATCATCAGTTGCTGCCTTTAAAGTGTTAAAGAACAGAAGCTGCTAAAAATGTGACAGCTGCCAGCCTCTACCTCATGTTACAGACGTGCATGTTCTGATTTATAGGTCATTTTTCTGCATGGCCTTGGTGATACTGGGTAAGTCTTCCTGCTCTCTTAGACTCAGAATAATTGCTGTTAAAGTTAAGCTAACGGTGCTTCTGCTTGAGTTTGTTATTGTTTCAAATTTGACAGGCACGGATGGGCAGAGGCATTTGAAGGCATTAGAATACCTCATGTGAAATACATCTGTCCACATGCGTAAGTGCTCCTGGTGTGTTTGTAGAGCAAATTATGCCTTTTAATACATTCAGAACCTTCACTTGCACTGCAACTCGCATTAATTCTTGCAAATATGTCTGAATCTGCAGTCCTACAATGCCTGTTTCTCTCAACATGAGGATGTCCATGCCTTCATGGTGAGGCCCCAGATTGATTTTTTTAATTATGTATTTATTTTTGAAGAGATTTAGAGTTCCAGAATGTTAATGTTTGTTTTCATTTAATGGTATGAAAAAGTGCAGATTGAGTTTCCAGGGGCACTTTTCAGGAGGTGCACCAATTTGAAATTGGGCAAATTTTTGATCACTGATTGTCAACTATGATTTTTTTGTTTGTTTGTTTTTTTATTTACCTACAGACTTAGTTTGCTTTTTAGAATTATAGATAACAGTGAAATACTCCACTTCCCCCTGATATTTTTTGTCAACACCATATTTTTTAAGTGGAAAAATTGAGCAATTATGTAAATAACTTTTAAAAGAATCAATCAAAATTTACAAATTGACAAAAATTTTGCAGGCGTTGATCCAGATCAGGTTGTTTTTCATAAATTCAACTAAATAGAATTAAAGCAAATTTCTTCACTCCTTTCAAAACCTGCATTATTACTCACTATCTTTTAAAACAATCTTTGTACTCCTCAAAATATTGTTGTGTAAAATTTCCAACAGAAGAATTTTTCTTTACAAGATTAAATTAAAATAACTGTGTATTTGAGAAATTGGATTATACCAGAAACAGTTGTGGTGACAAGTGGCAAAAAAGTAACAATTGTTACACAGTTTTGCTTTTGAACGACAACAACAAAAAAATCCAGACAAAATAAGTATTAAACTCTCATTTAACTGAATTAATAATTAGAACGATTGGCTTAATTAAATCTCTTTGTATATTAAGTAGATTTTTTTCGAGAAGCTATTAAAGCCTTTTGTGCTTCTTCATGTCATGTATAAACATGAAATATGCTTCTTCATAATTTTCTAGTTTTCTTCCTGTACAGTGAACAACATCCACACTTAGGAGTCACATCTAGTACCTTGTAGATGTGGTGTGTTCACTGTAAAGAAAAAAAAAAAGTATTTCTAATTTTTGCTCAATCACGGATCAACACTAACATTAGTGTTAGTGTTGACACTAACACTAACACTAATGTTAGTGTTAGTGTTAGTGATACAATATTTTTTAAAATATTGTATCTGTTTGATTAGTAATTCTGGGGTAATTTAAATAACCAATGTTTATTTCCATCTAGTTGGAATTGGGTTGGCCGGGTGGTATTTGCTAGTTTATGTGACGGCGATGAATCATATTTTCACATCAGTGTATCTCTACGTCACAGCGATTCTGATGCTTATTCCACCACTTGTAGGTTTGATATCTACGGGCTGAGTCCAGAGGCCGATGAAGACGAGGCTGGTATCAAGAGAGCGTCTGAAAATGGTAAGTTTAAATAATGGTTGAAAAACTTTACTAAGGTTAAATAATAAGGTTTTTTTGTTTTGTTTTTGTTTATTTTCATGTCATTGTGCAGTTAAAGCTATGATAGATCAAGAAGTGAGGAATGGGATACCTTCACACAGAATTCTCCTGGGTGGATTTTCGCAGGTATGCGTTTCATTTTTAGAAAGTGTGTGAGTGTTATTTAGGCTCCTGGTTTTCCACAAGTATGCAAAATGAATACATACACTAGGAAATGTATGGGAATATATTTGTATTGCCAGACTTTTTTTTTTAAACACATTACATTATTTAAACTTTCTGTCCATCCACCAGTGTCTACCATAATATCAGCATTTTCTTATTTGACCTTTGACACAGCTTCTCCTCCCTTCATGGATGTTTGTTGTCTCTGTGGGTGAATTTAATCAAATGGAAGTTACAGATTATTTTGGGTTTGTTTTTACAGGGTGGAGCGTTGTCTCTGTACACGGCTCTGACATCTCAGCAGAAGCTTGCCGGTGTGGTCGCGCTGAGCTGTTGGCTTCCCCTCCGTAAATCCTTCCCTGAGGTAGAAAACCAACAGCACCTCCACATTTACAGCTTCATTTAAATGCAGCATCAGAAATCAGCACGAGTGAGCGTAGCAGGCACAACAAGCAGAACATGATTGTGACAGTTAATAATTTTCTTAAAAATGAGCATGTAAGCCACTTCTTTTTCCTCTGAACCATCCCTTTAATGAAACCATGCTGCAAGGATATTCCCTTCCTACTCATAATCTGTCATAATCGGATCATAAAAACAATCCTAATCTCTTCTATTCTCAGGCGGCTGCCAACAGTGCTAACAAGGACATGCATGTCCTCCAGTGCCACGGGGATTCCGATCCCCTCGTCCCGTTTATATTCGGCACCCAGACGGCGGAGAAGATCAAAAGCCTCATCAACTCGGCCAACGTCACCTTTAAATCGTACCACGGTCTACCTCACAGTGCCTGTCCAGAGGTCAGTCTGCAGGCAGTCCTTTCTGAGAAGCAGTAGCACCTCTCGTTCAGTTGGCATTACAGCCTGCGTCTTTTTGTTCCTCTGTAGGAAATGATCGACGTCAAGCGTTTCATAGAGAAACAGCTTCCTGCCATCAGCGACGAGTGAGTGGCCCCACTCAGACTCAGTGCTGTCCGAGTCTTTTGGTCTCCACTCCTCTAAAATTTGGTGGACTTACGACCATGAACTGTACCTGACAGTAAATGTGTGCTGCTGCTCCATAGGCCCACAGATACCTGGGGTTTCCTGTTACCCTGAAGAAAGGCCTGACTGACACAATGCTGCATCTCCTCTAGAGCCACAAGCTCCACTCAGTGTTACTGTAGAGGAACATTAGGTGCTTGATTGCAAAGCATGTTGCCACTGAGACGAGCCATTTTTGCAGGAACTGTATGTGTTATAATAACTAGGGCTGAACTTTGAAGTTTAATACTGACACTCTCACAATAAATGGGCTGCTGTAAAAAAAAAAAAAAAAAGCTTTTGAAATTCAAGTATTTATGAGCGATGTATCCCTTTGGCTACATGAGTTGCTTTAGCAAAATTGCCATTTTGTAGAGATGTAGTGATCAGGCATTTTCTGGATGGTACAGATTTTCCTTGATGTGCTGATTCCATTTTCATTTCTTTTCTGTTCTCAAGACTGCGACAAATAATTGAAAAGTATTTTGCATTTCCCTTGACAGAGGGAGTATTTTTGAATCCTACTGAAAGTAAACCCGGATTGGGTTCCAGCACCTCCGGATAGGTATCAAAGACAGAACTCGCATTTTCCTACTGTTTTTCTCTTTACTCAAGATAAAAAAAAGAAAAGAAATGTACATTATTTTGCTTTCAGATCATCCCATTTACTTTTGATTTGTCGCACTATTTTATTGCTATTTTTGGAGTTGATGACTACAAATCGACAGGTAAATGTGCACGCATTACAGAATAAAAAAAGGGCCATTTCAGTACTACTTTTTTGGCTTCCAGATTCTCTTTGAGTTTTAACCTACACTTGTATTTGTTAATCACAAACTGCTATTTGTCTTAGAAAAATCCATGCTGAGTTTTTGAAGTTCAGCTATTATAGATTTTGATTTAGAGCTGATTTAATTGCTATAGTTGCCAACAAACAGTGAAATACTCCACATTATTGGATTTAAAGCCAAATTCAGCACTGTTGTTTCATGGTGGTCAGTTTGGTGGTCCAGAAGGATAATCAGTCCAAACACACATCCGGACTGTTATTTATTTATTTTTTTAGTGAGATCAATTAGGCTGATGAGCCTAGCCCAGACCTCAACCCTACAATACCTGAACCTCTCACAGTAAACATGCTCATTTAAATCTGCTCGGCTGATTCAGCCAAGAAGCGCCGTCAAATATCCATCAGAATTACATTAGAAACTTGTTGATGGCAACAAAATCCATCTGACCATGGTGCAACTTGATAAGAGTGAGATTTAACCAAAACAGAGGGAGTCCATTTCGATTTTGAGAAAAAAAAACATGTAAATAAATAACGCATTTATATAAGCTCTTGTATATCTAGCTGGTTAAGGGGTGCAACTGGGTCACAAAGGCAGCCCAATAAAGAATTCACAAAACATTTAATTAATGCTCATATCAAATGAGAGCAAGAACATATGATTGTGCTTTATTTAATTCGTGAGAATTCAAATAGCTATTTCACACAAATTCCCTTTTTTTTTAAATCATACATAAATATATCAGTGTTCATGGTCATGTATTCAGCATATTTTTCCCTGTTCTGTTGAAATTAAATATATAACTAATATCACAGTATTGAAACGCACAGACGAGATCGATCTCTGGGTATCAGCTCGTCGAGTTGTAAAAACCTTTCATATATATCTTTGAGAAGAGCTGAAAGCACCAACATGTGAAGTCATTGTCGCACCGTTCACGTCGAACTAAAAGGTGCTTGTGTAGAAGATGTTGATCCAAGGCACTTTCCTTTCTTCCTAAGGTACATTTAAATAAAACCTACAAGTTTCTACAAGAACTGAATATGCATTAAGGCTCACAATATACCTAAATACAAATGCAGTGCTCACAGATACATGCTTTCCCGCTTTAAATAAGGTAGAAAAGTGCAATGTCAAGCGCTAGGGAATATATTTATATATATTTATATATGTATAAAAATATAGATATGTTTTCTGAACAAATACAGTAACAGATGCCAAACCTAGCTTTTGTTCTTGGTTGCTCTGCAGGACTTGGAAATCCACTAATCATGCGGAAATAAACAGCAGTTATCAGCTGGATAAAGACTGGCTTTCAGCTGGGTTCATTTTCCTGTCTGTCTTTCTCTAAATAGCAGGTCTCTGACTTTTTACACAAAAGCTCCTCCTTTAGTTTGAGTATGTGTGTGTTTGGGGGGGATGCATGCGCTGAAAAGCTAACAGTGTGGCAGTGGAGAGAGTTTATGGCTCCGGGGGAGGCTCCTCCAAGCTGTTGAGCAGATCTGTGTACGCAGGCGAGTTTATGTAGCGAGGGTACGAGTCTCTCTGCATCAATGTGTAGATCTGCTGCTGAGCGTCGTCAAATGTGCATGAGGTCGGCTCCAGCATGTTGCGGTTTATCACCTCTCGCACGCGGGAGTCCAAGCTGACCTGTAGGGCAAGAAAATGGTGAGATGCTGAATTAAACGACGTATAAGGAAAGTCGATAAGTTTCTTTTTTTTGTGATTTATTATGGTAAAAAGACTTTCTAAACTACATTGTTTTGTTCAAGTTCACTAACCACACCCATCCCTGATTACTTATTTTACCTGCAAAATGAGGGAATTATGGAAATTGAACAGAATAAAAAAAAAGATCTCAAAGAGCAACACATCATGCTCTATGTCCAACTGAACATGTTGAAGAACATGTTCAGTTGGAGGAAATTCTTCAAACTTTAATGTATATTACAATAAAAACAGCAAGGCAGAGGGGACATTAATCCCAACCTTTTGAGATGATTCGTTTTGTCCACTATTTCCTGATGAATTTGGCGTTAAATTTAACACCTCCTCTTTGACTTGATCAACTTCTTTGTCTCACCTCTTTTGGGGACAGAATGGAGATGAAGTCCTCATATATTTGGCGGACTTTCTCCTCCACCACAGTCTTATTCGTCTCTTTTTTCAGATCCTCGCATGCGAGCCAGAACATCATGTTCTCTTCGCTGAACTCCGTCCTCAGGAACTGCCTAAAGCAGCTTCGCCCAGCTGCACTTTTCATCAGCTTCTCAAACGACACCGCCCAGGAGCGAGCTTCGTCCACGGTGGGTTTCGGGCTGAGGAATGAATGAAGAATTTGTTTTGCAAAGACAGTTGGGTTTCCTTAAAGTCATTTTTCGAGAAGTGAAGAAGGGAGTTACCTCTCTTCACAATTGGAGTTTCCTTCTGGCTGCTGCTCAAACGTTGACCCCTGTATGGTTTCTTCGTCTCCTCTAACAGTCAAGCTGAAAAGATTGAGAGTAGGTATTATGTCTGAGCAGTCAAAACAACAGGAATATTTAATCCCATCTTTTGTTCGAAAAACCAAGAATGTTGACTAACATCTTCAATAATTTCCCTAGATTTTGCTTCAAAGCAGACAGACTTTACAACAACCTTACTAAAGTATTTACAAACCTCTAGCTCCTTCAGTTTTCTTTCACGTTTGACCCAGAAACCTAAAATTGATCAATGATATGTGGTTGATAGGGTTAGACTGAGGATTGTTCTCCATCCAGACCAAACGTGAGCAAGCTTACAAAGAACACATTTTGAATACTGCATTCTATTTTCCTTCTACTTCACAGTCATAAACATTGTGCTGGTTTGTCGCTTAAAGTCCCATCGCTGGACTCTGGCTGCTATTTCACTTATTTTCAGTCCAGAACTTTGCCTAGCACTTGTATTACAGTACAGGTACAGAGTAAGGGGAAAGATGGTTAACATCCCTACAGAACCCGCACATCCTGGACACAAACAGTTTGAATCTTTATCTTGAGGTCCAGCTTTCAGGGCTGTATTTGCAAAAATAAGTAGCCACAGAGAGAGTTTCTTCCCCCAGATTGTCTCTCTGACGAACACAATGAACACTACAGCCAGAGAAGTCAGCCACTGCTGTGAACCAAAATAAGAATCTTCACACTCCCACATCTATTCCTCTTTTCCTTCCTTCTATCTTTCTCTCTTCTTTCTTTCTATATGAAAATTGGATTTAAATACCTTTTTATATTATTTCTTTTATCCATTCCTTTATTGGGTCAGCTTTTGAAGCCAAAGTCAAATTCCTCCATTGTGCACACAATCTTGGCCAATGAGTTTTGATCCTCAACGACAGATCAAGTCCACTCTGAAATGTAATTTTTTGCATCAGGTCTGACTCCCCTGATGCAAAGTGAAAGCAAGCGCCTTAAAACAGTCAGATATTTATCTGGAATTGTGTAGATAAACTGATGTTTGTTCCTCATTCAAATTGACTCAGCACAAATGGCAGGTTCACACCGATCCGCTGGGACCACCTGCGTTAATAATAAAATGTGTCAACTACCTTGTTGCCCCCGTGGGCCTCACCTGTGCATAATTAAAAGCAATTCGCTGCTTCTATTGCAGCAGCTGGCCCCGGAGTAATTGGTTCAGGTGAGAGTCCCCCGCGAGCCATCCCAACTGGGAATGTGGCTGCTGTGCAATGATTAAAACCAAATTCATATACAAGTAGAGATTAAATGAATAACTCATCTCCTGTGAAGTGCATTATGGTGGCTGCCCCCAGAGGAAGCTTGATTCAGCCATGGATAACTGCAAAACAGGTTAAATCCCCGGAGACGGTTCTGCGTGTGACCACTGAGGTCCTGTTGTTCTGGGAGAAAGGGTGGGGTTGACTGTGATCTTTCAACCCTAAGACATAGGGCTGAAAGATGGAACATTTTCTTTCTGGCTAACATCTCCTCAAACTTTGCTGGAGAATGTTTTATGGTCTGAAGGAGCAAGAGTGGAACTTGTCAGTATTTGGAATTGTAAAAAAAAGGCACTGCTCAAAAAAAAGAAAATAACATGATGCCCACAATGGAGGATGGTGGTGGAGGTGTCATGCTCGGAAATCTAACTTTCAGATGAAACTCAGGGTTTTGTCTGAAGCTGAACTCATATGCAACACACTTTTCTAGCTTTTTATCTCCCAAAGTATTAAAACCCAAGTATAATTTCTCTTTCATTTCACAGTCCTACGCGACTCTGCCAGTCTGTCCCAAAAGTCTGAATAATGTCGTTACATTCATCTGCAAGGCAAACCGATTGCAAAAAAAAATGGTTTCCAATGTTAGTCTGAACAAAGAACATTAATTATAATCATATTGAGCATTGGTTGCTAGTTCCAATGGTGGTGTGTGTCTGTTACCAGGAGCAGCTACAGCAGCAGCACCAGCAGAAGCAGCAGGCGTTTGAAGCGTTGGTGGGGGTGTTTCCCATTTTGTGGCGCGTTTGGAGGACACTGGCAGCTGCTTCCTGATGAACCTGCATCTGTCTCTTGCGCATCTCCGCCCGCTCTGAGCCCATGGACTGCAAGCAGAGGAGCATCACAGAGTTCGAGGGAGGTTGGAGTGTTCACTGGAAAATGGTAAAAGCATGAAGAGCAGCTCTGACAGGAATAAGGTGACACAAGAAGAGAGCATTAAAATGGTAATAGGATCACATTAGATTCGGTTAAAAGTCAAATCAATCCATCCATCTAACCTTCTATGAAACTTGCTGTAAGATCTGGATTTCATGGCAATTTCTATGAGCCATTCACACTCCTGACTCCCTGATGGCGAAGGAAAAACTCATTCTTGCTTTTGAAAATGACGGGATTGCTGCGCATCAAGGCCTCTTGCTGACAAGGTTTTGGTTAAATTTCTGAAAAGATTTTAAGTGGATTTAGACAAAAAAGGAAAAAAAAAAAAAGGTATTATTTTTTTATCTCTAGGCAGATC